CTGTCCCTCTACTCTACCCAGCATGATGTCCCTTCCCCTCCTGCACTGTCCCTCTACTCTACCCAGCATGATGTCCCTCTCCAAAGACCTGTCTCTCCTTGCAACATGTCCAAAGTATGTCAGGCGAAGCCCCAGAATCCTTGCCTCCAAGGAGCAGCCTGGTTTAACCCTCTCTAGGATGAATCTCTAGGATGATATTAACGATATTGAATGATAATTTCCACTCCGGTGGGTCACCTGTTTTTGGAATGGAAATAAATATGGATCTTTTCTAGTCAGCTGGCCTGGTTGTTGCCCTCCAGATTTCTTGGCACAACCTGGTGAGCATGTCCAGGGAAGGATCTGTTTGTTGAAATATGTCAATTGGTAGCCCATCAATTCCTGGGGCTTTATTTATTTTTTTTGTCTGGTCCTTCAGAGCAGCCTGCACTTCCTCCTTCATCAATGTCGCCTCTTGATCATATGTTGTTTCTTAAAATTCTTCTGTGCCAGCCCCTTCTTTTTGGTGCAGTGACTCTGTGTACTCTCTCTATATTTTCTTTTAATGCTTCTTGAACCATTCAATATTCTTCCATGCCATCCTTAAGTGTTGCAACTTGCGGCTTGAATTTGTTCTTAGTTCCTTCAGTTTAAGAAATGCTGAGTGAGTTCGGCTCTTTTGATTTTCCAACTCCAGCTTTTCGCACATTTCATTATACTACTTTGCTTTGTCTTCCTGAGCTGCCCTTTGAAATCTTCTATCGGCTCCTTAACTTCTGGATTTCTTCCATTTGCTTTGGCTTCTCAGCACTCCGATGCCGTATTCAGAGTCTCTTCTGACATCCATTTTGACCTTTTCTTCCTCCTCTGTCTTTGTAATGACCTTTTGCATTCTTCATGGATGATATTCTTGATATCCTCCCACAGCTCATTTGGTCTTCACGCATTAGTGTACAGGCCTCAAACCTGCTCCTGAGTTAGTTTTTAAATTCAGGTGGAAGAGACTCAAGGTCAAAATTCCTGTGGATTTGATTTGACCTTCTTCAGCTTTAGTCTGAACTTGATGATCTGTTCCACAATCAGCACGTGGCCTAGTTTTCACTGTTGATATTGAACTTCTCCAACGATTCCTCCCACAGATGTGATTGATCTACATCACGAAACACCTGGCAGCTGAGACCTCCATCTTCCCTCCCTCTCAGGTACCATCTCTTTTTCCAGGATCTCATTGGCTCTCAGGTACCATCTCTTTTTCCAGGATCTCATTGGCTTTGTAACAACCAGACAGCCTAGGGCAGACGGCACATTCAGCATGCCAGATCTAAAGGAGATATAGCCTTCACCTTGGAAATGATTGATTGTAAGAGCCTTGTGGTGCCTAAGATAGAACAGGGACACTAGGCCCCAAGAGGACAGTGCTGGTGTAGGTGGTCAGGGCAAGACCCTTTCCCCAGTGCTGCCTGAGACAAAAATTCCTCCCTGAAACTGATACAGGGGATTTGAACTTAAATCTTCCTAAGTGTGAGACAGAAATCAGAATGAGAGACCAGCAACATTGTGAGGTGCAGGACATCACAGAAGTGACTGGTGGCCTAAGCCATCAATCAAGGGGTGGCTGGGGGGAAGGGGGTGCAGGATGGGGGGGGGGGGGGGGGGGGGGGGGGGGGGGGGGGGGGGGGGGGGGGGGGGGGGGGGGGGGGGGGGGGGGGGAGGTGCGGGGAGGTGGGAAGGGAGATGGGGGGAGGGAGGTGCAGGAGTTGGGGAGGGAGTGCTAACCATGTTACCATCATGGTTACCATCATCAAGGGAGAGGGAAGGGACAAGCCACACATGCAGGACGAGGGCACTGTGTGTATGGTTATCTCTGTAAAGGGAAGTGCCTCTCATTTGCTTTTTTTAATAAAATGCTTGTTTGTCAGATGCTGTTCCAAAGCTAAGTATATAAATTAAGACAGACTAGGAAGAAGGATTGGCCATCCACCTCTGAAATACAACAGGCCTTTGAAAATCCTATGTGCAATAAAGCACACACACAGTAGAATAACATATGGTAACTGAGTCTGAGCCCTCAAATTTGGAAACACAAAGGAGGAGGAAGAGTTGTAAGCTGAAACTAATGATTGGAACTGGTCATACTCTGGGTATTAAATGAAATGGCATCATTGCTTCACTGCAGGGCCATCCAGTGGGGTCACCAGGCTTGGGGTCACCCCTTCCATGGACCTCCTCTCATCCTAGACCTCACAGGATCCTTAGCTCTTGTTTGCTCCCAGCATTAGCCATAGAAAAGCCCATAATGCAACGCGCCACCAGGACGCCTCATTTTACAGGAAGGGCTGATGGCACCTGCCCGGGGTCCCCAGGGATGGTGGAGCAACTCAAAGGCAGCCAGCCATGTGGAAATGCAAATTCCACTTCAGTCTTCAGCAGGGTCCTTCCAGCTGTGAATTTCTAGTCCTGGGTCCTTCTCTAGTCCTGTCACAGACTCTCAAAGGCGCGCCTGGACGCCGGAGGCAGCTCCTCTGCGCTGTGAGCCAATCCCGGCGCGTGGAAACCCACGTAACAGGAAGAGCCGGGGCATGTCTTTAACCATCACCTTCATGGGACAAGCCACCAGGTGCCAAGCCCAAGGTGCCCAGCTTCTGAGTGGCTGCTGAGTGGGTCACAGCCACAGCACCAGGCTCTTCCAGTGACGGCCACCAGACGGGAACCAAACCACTCAGCGAATTCCTCAGCTGAAAATCTCCCCGGAGCTTGGCTGGACTCTTTCCCTGTTTCCGGAGGCGCCTGCAGCCGGCTGAGCTGCTCACCGAGGCCGAGTCCTCGATCTGCCAGCTGCTCCAAGAAGGATGGGTGCTCTCCCCCCGTTAGGAGGTCTGGACTCAGAAATGCTGGGGGGGCCCCCTGGGAGGCGGACACTTGAGGGCCTGGAGTCCAAGTGGCTTTGAGTCGTGAGGTCCAGGGCCTCCGAACTTGCCCCCATGTGCAGTCTGCTGCATCTTCATCTAATCACGTCTGTCAGGTGCTGTGGTTACAGCTCCCAGTGGCAGCAACTCCGGGTCTGTGGGCACCTGATCCTCAGGGTTTTCACGGCTGGGTTGCCAGGCCTTTCTTCCTTGTCTGTCTTGGTCTGGAAGTTTGGCTGAAGCCTGTTCAGCAACCTAGCAACGCGTAGGCCTTCACTGAGACAAGGTGGCTATGCCTGGGGTGCACTGGCTGGGACTCGAACCTGTGTCGCCAGGTTGAAATTGAGAATTCTCCCATTGAGACCTCCCTTGAATCTTTGTTGTTGGGGCTGTCGAGTTGATTTTGACTCACAGTGACTCCCGTGTGTAGGAGTGTCCATGGGGTCTCTTACACTTACATGTTGGATCTTAGGGTCAATGGCTCCTTCCCAGAGAAGCAACACTCTTGTCTTTATTTCTGGGGACGCACTGCAGTTTACATCCACCCAGAGGGGCTAACAGCAAGATCATCATCCTTGAGAGGGGGGACGCCTCTCTGTCGCTCACTGTCTGAGCTGATACGTGTGAGAGGGGACAGGGGACGCCTCTCTGTCGCTCACTGTTTGAGCTGACCTGAATGGGCCATACTGAAAGGACTCAGCGCACACTTGAAGAAGAAACAGCTGTAAATACCCTCCACATTCTTCTCCCCTTTTCCTTAACAATGACGGCAAGTATTTACCAGCTGGCTAGCCTGAGGGATGCTGTCATGAAGGAGTGGGTTCTAGATTGTTCTAGATGGAATGCTGAAGGATCAGTCTACACCTCCCCAGGAACACAGTGCTCAGTGAAGAAATAAATGGAACACGGTTTTCCTTTTTTACTTAGTTAACTAGTTAGGACAGGATTAGTATTGTCAGGCAGCATCTAGCAAAGGTTATTTTTGTACCAATACTTTTCTCCCTGCAGAAAAGAACAAAGAAAACCAACTCCAATTCACATTCTCACGCAACCATGCTTGGCTTGAAAGTCATTCTGTCTTGTGCAGCTGGGGCTTATGGGATCGTGTGGGATGAATGTCTGTCCCGCCCTCTCAAACGGCAGGGGCGGAGCGTACAGAAGAGCAGGGATCACCGACCCTTACCTTTTCTTCCGAGTCGCCGGGCTGGCACGTGATCACTCCGTCCCGTGAGCCGCCGGCAAACGTGGCCTTACAGTTTGCGAGCCACTGTAAGAAAAAGAAAAGTGCATCCAAGTGAACTCAGGATGCCCCAAAACATGAACACTTGTGACCTGTATGGAAAATTGTTATGTGCCGTCAAGTCGCCTGCAACTCACAGCGACCCTGTGTACGAGCCCTAAACCCTGCTCTATCCTGTGCCAATCGCACTGTCTCCGACACGCCCATCCCATTACCCCAGTCACTGAATCAATCCATCTCATAGAGGGTCTTCCTCTCCTGCGCTGTCCCTCCACCCTCCCAAGCATGATGTCCCTCTCCAAGGACTGGTCTCTCCTTGCAACATGCCCAAAGTACGTCAGATGAAGCTTCAGAATCCTTGCCTCCAAGGAGCAGCCTGGCTTCACCCAGGAATACTTTGTTCTCTTAGCAGTCCATGCTTTATTCAGTACTCTTCTCCAGCACCACAGCTCAAAGGCATCAATTCTCCTTCTATCCTTCCTAGTCATTGTCCAACTCTCTGACGCATAACAAGTGATTGCAAAAACCATGGCCTCTATCAGGAGCACCTTAGTCTCCAGAGTGACCAAATCTCCAAAGAAGCGGCCAGAAGCCTGGTGGAGGTGGAGCAGTGCGTTATGAGTGGGCTGCTGACTAAATGAAGGTCTATGGTTTGCATCCGTCAGCCGCTCTGCAGGAGGAAGACTGAGTAACTTCCTGCTGGAAGGAGCTGTAGCCTCAGAAACCAGACGGAAAGGCACTACAAGTAGGACTTCATTCTATGCAGGGTGTCGTCATGAATCAATACATTAGTAAAGGAAAGAAGAAAACAATTATTACTATAATGATTTTACGGAAAAGACCATTTCTGGGTTTAAGGTGAGCTGTTTGAAATTAAAAACTATGTAAAGAAGAAAAGGCAATTTAAAAATCTAATTTCAATGGAAAAGGTCCACTGTAGACTTAAAAAGACAGAGTAATGTTGGGCCTAATTCAGTTGGGATTAATTGTATAAACATAATGAATGGCAATGATTGTATGAAACACAATGTGAATGAAAGAAAGTGTGAAACACAATGTACATGAATTTTGGATGCAAATCAATATAAAATAAAACTTAAAGAAAAAAATTTAACTTCAACAGTGCAGAATGTCCTGTCATCCTGGGGTATGGTTTCAATATCTTTCATGATTTAAATAGAAACGGAATTCATATCCAGTTAGAACTCTTCTGTAGGACAGACAGTAGAAGATATAAACAACATCCCACAGGCGGCGGGATTTCAAACTTTCTTGGGTTACAGAATCACAGGTTTGGAGTCTATGGGTGTGCAAATGGCCCCTGTTCTTGGCTACTCACTGGGGGGCTTGTGGCTGGGGCCCATTCAGAGGTCCCTCAGAAGAAAGGCTGGCAGTCTACTGCCCAGATTAGGCCCTGGAAAGGCCACTGAGTACAGTTCTTCTGTGACACACGTGGTGTTGGTGTGAGCAGTCACCAGCTGGTAATCACGTCTGTGACCACCTCAGCTGACAGGCACACATACTGCTCTGAGAAGGTTCAAATGGGCAGTCCCACCTCACCGTAAGAAAGCTCTTTAGAGAGCCCACCAGTCTCAAGGGACAGGAGAGCAGCTAACACGTATGTGGAAAGAACTTGTGAGTCAGAAGCAATGGAACACTAGGAAGTAGAAGCCCAAGGAGGCCGGGGATGAACTGTCTCGTCCACCAACCAGAAGGGCAGGATTATGCAGAGAAACACTAGGACTTCTGGGCCGGAAGGCTTAGGGTCTCATTCTCATGGGATGTCTCAGTCAGCTGGTCCACAAAGCTCTCGTTCTGCAGCCCAGTGAGGTGAGTGGCCCCTGGGATGTTAAGGGTTAACAGAAAATCCAGACTGTGGGTTGTATTTGACTCAGAGAAGAGACTGGTCTATAGGGCCAGGAGCCTGAGTGATTGACGTGAGGCGGACGTGATAACCACTATACTACGAGCCAGTCGCCTCCATGGTCCACAGCTTCATCTCCTGAGACCAGGAGAACTAGCTGACCACTAGTACTGACTCTTCTGACCAGGCTCACGGCAGATACACACTGACAGAATGGGGACAAAATGTGGAACAGGTCTCACGTTTTTAAAAAGTGCCAACTTACTGATCTGGTTAAAACTAGGATTCTCCGTGATTAATATCTTTTAAACATTGACCAAAATTAGCCTGTGAAGTCATCTTTATGGAAATAATAGATTATGACATAAAAAGGAGACATTACTCAAAGGGGCGCCAATAAAAACTCTATGAGATCACAAGGTCTATGATGACTGTACAGCACAGATGAGACAGTACAGGAGTAGGGACGCTAGAGTGCTGGAAACAGAGGCACCTGAACGCATGGCGAGAAAGTGCTGGCACATTATAAAACATGCAGCTATTGGTGCTGAACAACTTGTGTACTAGTGTCAAATGAGGACTCAATTTTCTGTGTAAGCACAATAAAATATTAATCAAAGGATAAAATAACGATAGGAACAAAACCCAAAGAGAAACCTCGGGCTAGAATACCAGCACTCAGATGTGTAGATGGGCCTTGGTAAAATCGGGAAAATTGACCACCACAACAAACAAGCTAATAAATAGCTGGCAGTTTGTCGCAAAAGACCTTTAAGCATTGTTAAAAAGTGAAGATGGTCAATTTGAGACCTAAGGTGTCCCTGAACAACCCACGGCGTTTCAGTTGCCGTGTCTGCATTGATGCTGGACAGCGAATGAGGAAGACCAATGACATCAGGTGCCTTTGCTGGTGAGGAGTTCCTCGCACCCTGGATTGCCGGAGCGATGTGCACATCTAACTGGGAAGGTGCAACCAGAACCAGGATGATGAGGCTGCATCTCACGTGCTTGAGATTTATTATGAGGAGGCTCCCCTAGAGAAGGACATCACGCCCAACAGAGCGGAGGGCCAGTGAGAAAGAGGAAGACATAATGAGATGGACAGGCCCTGGGCTGCAGTGCCGGGCGGGGTTTGCTCTGAGGTTGTACGTGAGCTTGCTGCACGATGTGGTGGTTAAGAGCAGGGGCCTCTGAATTGCATGGAGCTGGGTTTAAACCAGCTGGTGGTGGCCAATCCCAGGCACCCACAGGCTAACAGTGAGCACAGATGAGATGATCTATAGAAAGCTCTTTTTTTTAAGTGGTTTTTATTTTATTTTATTTTATTATTTTGTGTGTGTAACGTCAAATCAGATCTGACTGGTACAGGAGGAGATTGCCTCTCCTTCTCCAGCACAGCATCTGGTGGATTTGAACCGCATACCTCTGGGATTGTAGTGCAGCTTCTTGCCACTAGGCCACCAGAGCTCCCTTCCCGATTTATAGAAAACTTTTAACTGGCTGTTGAACACACACAAAAAGCCCTCCTCGAAATCCCACCGTTGAGCTGATTCTGACTCCTGGTGACCCAAGGATCACAGAACAGAACGGTGCTTGTCAGGTCTCCTGTGGCTGGAATCTCGACAGAAGTAGCCAGGCCTTCCATCCACGGCTCTGCTGCATGTGTCTGAACTAGCGGCCTTCAGTAAGCCTCTCACTCACTGTCGTCCGGTCAGTGCCGACCACTGCTGAGCCTCCGTTGGGTTTCCGAGGCTGTGAATGGTAACGGGAGGAGACGGCCCCTCTTTCTCCCATGGAGTCCTTGGTGGATTTGAACCGCCAGAGAAGCATGGCTTTTGGGTTAGCAGCCAACTTGATACTGACTGCTCCAGCAGAGCTCGGCAAACACTGAGTGCAACTCTTACACCACACAGGTTCTCGGACACAACTCGAAGAAACTAGCAGGTCTGACAGCACTTGGATTATGAGAACTGTTCTATCCTTTCAACAATCAGACAAATGACTTTTATTATAATTGTTGTTGATTGCCTTTAAGTCAAGCACGATTCATAGAGACCCTGTGAACAAAAGGCCTGAAACCCCTCTACATCTATCGACATTTATCAAAGTTGACAGAGTTTCTGGAGGCATATTGTTTAGGAAGTGGATGCCACTCCTGCTTCCAAAATGGATCTGAAATGAAAGGGGGAATCTGATGTAAAGAGAGTCTCTAAGATTTAAGTAGCCAGCTATGATTTGAACAAAGCCCATCTGACAAACAAAGCCATGTTCTTTGTCCATGTGCTGCTGTCAAGGCCAGGCCTTCTGACAGAGGCCTGCAGGCCCTGGGAGAACTGCCCCTGAGGGGTCCACGGCTGTCAGTCTCTAGTGCACTTGCGCGGACGGTGCACATGAATGGTTCCCTTTTCAGCTCTGTGCCCAGCGCTGCAGTAGGAAGTGTCTGGTACACCTGCACAGTTACCGTTACTATGGAGCGCTGCATCTTTCTAGGCTTCAAATTGCCCATTGCTGGAAACGGACGGTGGTCGAGGTTGCATCCACCTCCAGCACTTTATGATCTAGATCTAGGATGAAGAAAGCAGAGTGTGCAAGAGAAGACACCCACCACCAAGAGAGGTTAGGGGAGAGTGCAAGTGACCACAGGTTGGGCCTGGCTCACCCTGGAAAGAAGAAATCAAACATCTAAAAATCTCTGAGAAAATAGTTGGTAAAAATACATAGTCAACAGATTCCACTTTTTCCCAATGTCTAGGTGGGTACACTATGGAGTTAAAGGTGAAAGGCAATGGTTCCTTCAGCCACAATGGATCCAGAAAGTCTGGATTCCACTGAGATTTGGAAATTCTTTTCTGTCTTTCCCTCTTCCCCCTTTTGGTCAAGATTCTTCTATAGAATCTTGATAGATAACCTATCTATCTAGAAACACGTATTTTGATGTGGTCATAGGATCTTCATGGTTGACCCCACAGTGGGTCTCCCAGGCTGTAAATCATCTTGGAGGAGACTGTCCATCTTCTTCTTTTTGGACCGCTAGTGGACTGGAATCACCAGAGACTCAGCTTTTGGGTTGGCGGCACAGCTTGTGACAAAATTCTCCCACCAGATCGCCCTCCCACGAGCATCTACACAGAAACAGGTGCTTACTGAGAGAGTGGCCTCTTTCCTGTTGTTGTAGGTGTCCAGGTATTCTTGCAGTTCTAAGACACTGAACTTGAGCTTGTCCAGAAGCCCACAGGAAAGGAGCTAAAAACAAGAAAACATCTGTACTGAGACAAGCAGAGAAACCCCAAAACAATGTCATTCCTACCTAGAAACGAGAACTACATTCTGAAGCACTATTAAGGGGTGCCAGGGGTGTCCATTTACAGCAAGCTTTGACGATCATTTTACATCATGGGATTGCTGCCTTGTGGACAAGCGTCCTACAACAGCAAGGGCGTCTTAAGACCTCTGTGATGTGGGAGGATCAGTTCCAGGTCACCGTGACACAGAGTCTGTCACAATAAAGCCAGTCACATGCATTGTTTGGGTTCTGTGCGTATAAAAGAGAGGCCGATGTTAGACCATAGTCTATCAAGTGCATCAAACAGCACTGCGAAAAAGTGTGAGCTACTCTGAGAGTGACTGTAACGTGACCCACAGATGGGAAGGGGAGCACCTGCTGTCGGAAAAATGGTACCAACAGACTTGTCTGAGGAAATGTTGCCACAAATCCTCAATTTGTGAAAAATGTGGTATCTGGAAAACATGATAGAAAGAAGGGCGGTGACACAAAGTACGTCTGTCTCATTCTCACAGCGCATAGGCAGAAAGACAGACAGACAGACAGACAGACACACACAAACACACAGAAAGACACACAGAGAGGCAGACAACAGAAACACAGACAAACACACAGACACACAAACAGGCACACAGACAGACACACGGAGAGGCACAAAGACAGACTGACAAACAAGCTTTCCCAGGGGCTGCAGAGTTCCAGCACTTGTTCTGTGGGCTGTTCGGAGACACATGGGAGGAAGACCCCCACCCCCAGGCTGGGCCAGGCCTCACCGTCTCAGCGTCCACAAAAAGGGTGGGGCACTCGGAGCAGGAGGTGAGCATCTGGGAGGAGCTGACAAACTTGGAGCCGATGCCCCGGAGGCTGTCTCCCAGGTAACTGGCTGCATCACAGGTCAGAAAGCAGAACCTCTTCTGAATGTTCTGTGGGCGGAACAAAGACCCTTCTTTCTTTCTGTACCATCATCCACACACATTTTATTTTAGACTATTGCTAGGGATTAATGTAATTAATTACAATGTCAAATCAACTTCTTATTGGTTCGTTTTTAAAGACAGCATTTCTACAGTATTCTTTGTTCATCGTTCAACTTTCATATATGTATGAAACAATGGAAAATTCCAGTGCTTGGGTCAGGTGGACCTTTAGTTTTTAAAGTGATTTTTCCAATGCAGTAAGTTCTTTAATGTCTTTTTTTCATAATTAAAAAAATAAAAAAAAGTAACTGGGGGAGGGGCACGGGAGGGAAGGAGAGGAGGTAAAAATGTGCAACAATGAATGAATGAAAATCTAACTTATCTGTAACTTTCATTACAATTACAATTTAAATAAAAGTGTATTAAAAATATACTATGCATATTGTCCCCCTACCCAAAATAAACAAAATGACAATATATGCTGACCTTAAACTCTTTAAGAACAAAGACCCTTCTTAAAGGCCACACTCTAACCTGATACGGTGGAGAACACAGATTTTGTGATCTTCTGGGGAGGAGGAGGGGCAGAGGTCATGCGCCGTGGGCTGAGATTGTTTCTGAGTGTTGTTTCTGAATGTGTGCATGAGCACAGAACCTGGCTGTTAGAACTGTGGCTGAGAATACACGCAGAACACAGCAATCCACAGTCCCAAACACACAACTCAGTGCTGGTGACGACATTCTTTGAGCTGTGTGACTGTTCCCACCTCTTTTCTGAACGTCCTCACTACCATCACTCACTGCCCCTAAGATTCTCTCAGCCCTTTTGAATTGCTGTTGTCAATTTGGTCCAAGCACACAGACCTCACAAGAGCATAACATTCAAGGGGGACACCCTTTACAATTAAGCTAGCCTATTGTCCAGTTTAAGCCACCTAGGGAGCCCTGGTGGTCTACTGCTAAGAAGCTGCGCTGCAATCCCAAAGACATGAGGTTTGAAACCACCAGCTGCTCTATAGGACAAGGATGGATAATCTCCTGGGTGATTTACTGCCTCTGAAAACCACAGGGCCAGCTATGGGGTGGTTCTGACTCGGTGGCATATGTCTACACTGATCATTTAGAGATGCCTAATGGTGTAGTGTGTATGTACTGCCCTGTTAGCTGGAAGGTTACGGGTTTGAATCCACACTGCTCCCTGAGAGACAGAGGACCGGTCTCCTCCTGTAACGATTTACAGCTTTGGCAACCCGATGGGGATGCCCGTGAGTGAGAACCAGCTCTCTGGCGGGAGTTTGGCTTTTGGTTTGCTTCCTGCCTGCTTTGAAGGAGAAATGCGAGCCTACTGCTGGCTTACTGCTGGCTTACGTCCTTTGAGTGTTAGGATCCTCTCAGAGTGACAGAGTGGTTCCTGCAGGCTCCATGGCTCTGGGAATTCTGGATTCCATGGAATTTATTATTAAGTTCGACTTTCCTCCTCTCCTTCTTTGATCAGGATTCTGCCATAAAATCTTTTATCAACACAGAGGCCAGATTTTAACTTACATATCAGAAAAAAATGATATTCGGCGCCATAAAAATATTCTATGGGCGTAGGCCCCCTGGGTAAGCAGAGGCGAGGGGAGTGACTAGTGTCTTAAATCGACCACGTAATCATCTAGGGTGGCCAAGTCAGTTCCTAAAAGGACTTCTGCAAGTGGATGCCCACAGAACCGGTGGGTTTTTAAATGGTGTTTTCTCATGCTGCCGGTGAGGGTCGACACAGCAGCTAAGTTCTGCTCACACCAGCTGTTCAGTGATGCTGGTTACGGGCTTCGTGGTGCACAGCCATCCTCACCTCTCCTGTCTGCTGACCCCCTTGCCATCAGCCTAGTCTCCCTGTCCACTTCCGTTCTCGTCTTCACTGTGAAGCCTTGTGCCTGACTCCTGGGGGACTCTCAGGAGGAATGCAGCGCCTACGGGCTGTGTACAGGCTGTATTTGTCCTGTTCCAGGTCAATTGTTCCAAATGGCTTTCCCGGCCATCAGCTCTGAGTCTCTCTACAGAACTAGGTGGGAAGCTGAAACACGGTGTGCATATAAATGAATCATCATGGCATCAGTCACTTTCCCCATCAACCAGGCTCAAATGGAGCTTAGCAGTGAAGGTGAAATCTTAACACCAGCAAAGAAGCAGCAGAGAATGTGGAGAGAGTCCTTCAGAGCCACAAATTCCTGTGCCGCTCAGAGCAGGGACTGTCGTGTGTCTGACGCGAGGCAGAGATGACTTGAGACACTGCCTCCTGGGTCAAGAGCCAGGGGTTTTAGACCTGAGACACACCCACCTGTGGTGTCCCTGTCACAGCAGCACC